TTTGAATTTGCGCTTGTTTTTTGCTTTCACTTTCATTTTGCAATTGCACGAACGGTGTGTAGAGAGCAGCAGCACTGATTGGTGAGTGACGATTAATTGCACACCAATTCCTCTGACATCGTCTTATCACTCACAGGAGCCCTCACTCCTGTGCGAGCGCTCTGTGGCTGCTCTTGCTGCAGTAAAACTGTGTGTTTCTCTCTGATTCTCAGCTGAAGAAGTGTCCTAGGATACATCTCCTGACAGCAGGGATTTTAGTTCTGCAGAGCCAAACACGACAGGTCAGGGTGAAGAAGGGGCAGTTAGTTATGACAAATCAGGCAAAAGATGACGGACTCTGTGGGTTCGTGGGGAAAAGGATTTCACAAACAGATTAAAAGTGTCTATAAAAGCAGTGTTAGCAGCTCTGTACTCTGGAGGCTAAGCAGTCTGCTGAAACACAGGCACCATCATTCAGAAGCAGCTCCGAGTCCCTCTGTGACCACTAAAGTGGAGGTGTGGAGCAAGAGGAGGAGGACAGGTGGACGACACCAAAGTGACAGCAAAGAGTTCATGTTGCTAACAGCTCACCTCTCTGCAGCAGACACAGGCTGGCCTTTAAAATGAATGATGCGACCATTAGACCTGTCACTCTTACAGGACACACAGCTGGGTCCAGGTTCAGGTTCAGGTCCAGGTCCAGCAGATCTCTTATGGAGCCTGTTAAAGAAGAAAATGTGTTTTTCATTTACAGAAGCTGATGAAGACTTAGATTACCTTCATCATCCCAAACAGAGAAACAGGTTACTTTACGTTACTAACAGCTCACCTCTCTGCAGCAGACTCAGGCTGGGATTTAAAATTAATGATGCGACCATTAGATCGGTCACTCTTACAGGACACACAGCTGGGTCCAGGTTCAGGTTCAGGTTCAGGTCCAGGTCCAGCAGGTCTCCCACTGATCCTGTCACAGAAGAAAAATGTGTTTTTCATTTGCAGAAGCTGATGAAGACTTAGATTACCTTCATCATCCCAAACAGAGAAACAGGTTACTTTACGTTACTAACAGCTCACCTCTCTGCAGCAGACACAGGCTGGACTTTAAAATTAATGATGCGACCAATCGACGTGTCACTCCTTAAGGACCCAGAGCTGGGTGGAGGTCCAGGCTGGTTCCTGTGAATAATGATGGAGCAGTGATGTGAGTGCTGAGCTGTGACATGGAGAAGAGTCATGGACAGTTAGAGATGGTCGTCTCACCTCTGAGCTTTGGTCTGGCTCTCTCTGGCTCTCTTAGAGGGAGGGACTCCCTCCTCTCTGTCCTCACACTGATCCATGCTGCTCAGCTCACACACACTTTCTACCTGCAGAGGAAACACAAATCATTCATGTGCACATCAGCTGATGTCCATCATGTGTGCTGTCCAAACATCAGCTGCTCTGCTATCAGTCCACTAGATGGAGCCGTGATATGAGCAGAACTTTGTGCCATCAGAAACTCAACAGAATAGAATTCAACTTTATTGTCATTGCACACATCACAGGTACAAGGCAACAGTTTGCATCCATCCAGAAGTGCTTTAGCTACAATACAGATATCTTATAGAAAGGTCTGTTACACTGTATCTGTGAGAGACCAACAGCTGGGGTCAAACACTAATAAGGTCCTGACGTCTGCACTTTTCACTTAAATCATGTCTGTGTACAAACAGAAATCAGTAAGTGTTACTTGGTTTTAACATATAGAAATACATTAGAGTACGGCTCAGTCGCATTTTTATTTTTAAACCACTTTTTTTTAGTTACATTAGCAGTCTTTAGGTTAGTCTGACTTGAGTTTCTAATATTCTTCTTTGGTTCCCCTTGTGTCTCTGTGTTTATGTCCTTCAGTTTGTTCTCATGTCTCTCCTAATGCTTCAATCTCTCCTCACTCTGTCTCGTCTCCACATCGCCTCGTTGTCTCCTCCCATTATCTGCCTAACCCTGAAAGTCTTTTCCACACAAAAGCAACCTCTTGTGTGAGTTAGTCTGCGCCATAGTGTTTCCTGTTTTACTTTTGGTAGTCTGGTGTGCTTCCTGTTCGGCTTTGTTTGCCTGTTTCGTAAGTTAGCTCACCTTCAGCTGTGCTGCCGTCCCCATTTGCCCACATTTATAATAATAATAATAATAATGGAGTGGATTTATATAGCGCTTTTCAAGGCACCCAAAGCGCTTTATGATACCACTATTCATTCACTCTCACATTCATACACTGGTGGAGGCAGCTACGGTTGTAGCCACAGCTGCCCTGGGGCAGACTGACAGAAGCGAGGCTGCCATATCGCACCATCGGCCCCTCTGGCCAACACCAGTAGGCAAGTAGGGTAAAGTGTCTTGCCCAAGGACACAACGACCAGGACAGAGAGCCCAGGGATCGAACCGGCAACCTTCCGGTTACAGATGCGATTCCCAACCCCCTGAGCCACGGTCGCCCACAATTATGTGTGTGTCTCCCTCTGTCCTGCATCGCAACCTCCCTCATGACTGTGTGTTCGTTTAGTTTTGTGTTTTATCCTGGTCGAGTGTTGTATTTATTTTTCCTTCACGCAATAAAAATGGATGTTTTTGAGCCAAATAACATAACTAAACAATTAAAAAATAAGAAAATCCTTTTTAAAACTTTATGTGAAATGTAATTTAGAAAGAATGCAATTTCTGGTGAGGAATAAATTAGTACACCCCCACCTGTCATCCTACTTAAACATCACGTCAGGTGCACACGATCAGTAGATTGTTACTAGCGCTGGGTTTTTATAATCGATTCATCGATTAAAATCGATTCTGGCTTGGATAACGTGAAATCGATTCATTAAAATCCTGAATCGATTTTTTTATATAAATTTATTTTGCCCGAAATGCCAGAATCTCAGGTTAAACCTCACAACATTTCAAGAACCACCAAACAGCTAAGACAGTAAATGAGAGCAGGTACAGGGATTCTGCACAAAGACTTAAACACACAGCGCGACCCGCGGATCAGAATCAGTGAGATGTGACTTTCTCACAGTCGGGGCTGAAAGCCGACAGCTGCTGATCCTGATCTGTCGGCGCTTTGTGTTCACGCCCTTTATGCGCTGATTCTAAAGCTGTTGGTTTGATGTCTCTCCAACAATATTGACCGAACCAGCAGCAAAAGAAGATCCAAACGCTTCACATAAACATCGTCATGGATTCACTCTTTTACTGTTTTGCTTCCACCACAATAAAGTCACACTTCATGCACAGCTCTCTCTCTCTGTTTTCTTCATTATTCGCTTGCTTGTTACGCACAAGTCTACCGTTGTTTACAGGCTGTCGGCCGCTGTTATTTTCCCTTTTACATTCTTCCGAAAAGAAAATCTAATTTCTGCTGTTCAATACTGAACAAATTTAAACTTTTTAAAATTATGCAAAATGCTTAGACGTGTCTCTGATGATGAGTCATTTGGACACCAGAGCAGTCAAGATGTTTGGCGTAAACCAAATCCAATCTTCAAAGAAAAGAACCTCATACCAACTGTGGAGGTGGCAGTATCATAGTTTGGGGATGCTTTGCTGCAGCAGCACCTGGCCAGCTCACCATCATAGATCATCATCTGACTGTGTATCAGGGGCTGCTTGAAGAACATGTGAAACCATCTGTTAAAAAATTAAAGCTGAAGCAGAACTGGACACTGCAGCCTGACAATACACCAAAGCATACCAGCAAATCCACCAAAGGACTGGCTAGAAACTAAGCACAGAGTCCTGATGAACAAGGCGTCTGTGATGGCTGAAACCCAAAACATATCCACAGACAGCACAGGTGTTATACTTTATATTATAGTTTAATCAGGTTTTGTTTGCTTCTTTAAATTTAGATGTTAGTTTTATTTATTATGTATTCAGGGTCTGTGTCAGAGATTAATGCAGGCATTACAAACTGAACTCACATCCAACATCTAAATAATAGAATAGCCTTCATTGTCATAAATAAATGCCAAATAAATGTCTATTGAAGAATAATGAGGCACGTTTTTCATTTTTGTTGTTTTTTTAGCCAAACTAAAAAACACTAACAGGACATTTCCTATAAAACGTTGTTTAATCTTCCAAATTAATTTCATTTATTATTATCAGTAATTTAGCTTCATTTTTTATTTAGTTTTTCTTTCTGTTTTAACTTTTTGAGCTCTAGTTTTAGTTGTGAGTTCAGTTTTAGTGAACTACAATAACTTCTGTAACACTTCTTCCTGTTGGAGCGGAGCCAACTGTTTGTGGCGCAGTATTTTTAGGACCGCCATGTTGAATCTGTATCTAGCACACTTCTATACTAAATATTAATTTAACCCCTTAGCAGTCGGACGTACCGCCCACGGGACATTGGATGGTTTAGGGGACTAATTGGTTACGTACAAAAACTTATCAAAAAAGAAGCTAAACATGTTATATATATTTGGAAAGCTGAGATTCTCGTGATTCGAACGATGTAAAGCATTTCAAGATAGAATCAACATAGCAGGTACAATTAGTGTTTATGTCAGGCTGCCAACATCGAAAAAAAACAATAACAATAAGGTCTGTACTCACATATAAAGCACCTGTTAGTCCACTGGTTCATAATATTCCAACAAAAACGGTGTAGTTAGACTGCCAAGAGTCCAGGCAATCCAAATCAGTCCAATATTTAGTCTCTGAGACATTTATATGTTGATAAACATCCACTGAATGTAATAGTATTGTTTCAAAGTAGCCGGCGAATAATCCTATTTTCGGTGCTTCCTGAAGCATTAGCAGATCTTGACATGTAAATATTCCGGGTATTTTGATTTCAAAATGGCCGCTGACCTCTGCACTTTCGATTGACACCTCATTTGAACCAATGGGTGCTTCACACAGGTGTGAACAAGCAGCGATAGCCAAACACAGCTGGTGGTCAGCGGTCTGGCCAGCCCCCCTTTGATGGGCAGTAACTTCTTCCAATTGTGGCAGAGTGTCAAAATGATTGGCGTATCAGATAGCCAATGATCTTTAAAGAAGATTGATATGCAGCTTAAGGGGGAGGACACTTGTTTTTCCCCTTTTATTTGCATGCGCAAAAGGTTTTTGTCACTCGTGCGCTTTTGCGTAAACTTTCATAGCGACGACAGCACTCGTGCGCTTTTGCGTAAACTTTCATAGCGACGACAGCGTCTGTGTTCATACAGCATTTTGAGAGAACTTGCGACCAAAGGAGCTTTGTAAGTACAAAATGGCAAAGAGGAAAACTTACTTCTCACTGGAAGAAGTCCTCGAACAATGCACTCGGCGTGACAGTGATCAGTCGGAGGAAGATATTTCCGAAGAAGACAGTGATGTTTCCTTTGTTGACTCGGTAGCAGAGGATATTTTTTTGGATGGAGGAGACGCTACTCTCGACATGTAAGTGTTTATTATATCATACAATGATATTACTGTTTGTATGTGTGCCTTTGTGTGTGTGTGTGCGCCTTTGTGTGTGTGCGCGCCTGCTCCTCTGTGTGTTTGATGCGTTTTTACTAACTCCTGCTGTGTTTATATTGTTTGTTTGTGTGTGTGCATCTTTGTGTTTTGATTGTGTTCTTACTAACTCACGTCGTGTGTCTTTATATAATGTGTGTATATATATATATATATATATATATATATATATTGTGTGTGTGTTTTGAGGTGTTCCTGCTAACTTATATCGTTGTTGTTTTTTTGTATATCACAGACAATCATCAGAATCAGATGAACTATGGGAGCCAGCCAGTAAAAAGACAAGTACAGAGGAACACGATGACAGCATTTCGTCAGAAGAGGAGCCACATCCTTCCACTTTCCAAAGAGTTTCTGGAAGCAGAAGGCCAAGAGGGAGGGGGAGAGGAAGAGGAAGAGGGAGAACTGGCAGCAGTCAAGCTGAGATGCCAGCCAGTACATCTGAAGAGGGATGGAATGATACAGATGCTCCAGACATAATACCACCACAGCCCACCTTCAGGCCCATCAAATCACCAGGACCTCAGATCATACCTACAGCTTCATACACACTTTTACAGCTTTTTCAACTTTGCTCCATCGCCCGCACCATCACCCTCTCCAAACAGAGCACATCACAAGCCTGTGCATATCAGTGGACACAGCACCACAGGTCGTCTGAGGTGCAGACACTGCCAGGCAAAGACACCAGTAAAGTGCTCCTCCTGTGATGTGCCTTTGTGCTTTTTGCCAAGTCGAGATTGTTATAAAGACTGGCATGATGCCAATGATCTCTAAAAAATATAATTGTAAAAATACATTTGTGTGAAAAACTATATATATATTTATACACCCACAGATGCATATACATAATGTGTATATATAGTGAGTTTTAATGCCATAATAATTTTTTTTCCCTTTACATTTGTTTCGAAATTGAAAAAAAAACACTGTATAATGTTTATGCTCCTGTAATTTTGTAAAGTATTGACAATAAATCTGGATGTAAGAATAGCTCTGAGTGTAACCTTTAATTAGAGACCAAAATTAGGACTGTACATAAAAGCATTCAAGAATTACAGCCTTTTATGTGTTGATTGTTACAAAGGGCCATTTGGAGTCTCCAAGTGGCCTTTTTTGGGTAGCGCCTATACATAGACCTAAATAAACTTGCATAGAACACTCATTTTCTAAGATATTGTTATCAAATTTGAATTGTGGCTTGGTAAGGCTTCATGCTTTGATCCTGTTGTGTTTTCCAGCTAATACCTCACAAGGTAGGCATCTGCATGCATTCCTTACAAAAAAAAACTTGGGCGGATTTTTTTTTCTCTCTTTTTTAGTGTGTTCAAAGTTCTATTACTCAATAGCAGTATGACATAAAGTGATTCTGACACCTCAGGAACAAACTACAGATTGTCTCCTTTCAAAAGAGACCAAAACCATGCATATACTCCAAATGGTTCAAGAGCAGCATGCAATTTATTTTGGATATGCCTTTTTCACAAATTTTAGGCAAAATTTGTAGGACTGCTAAGGGGTTAAGCAAATATATCTAAATATTAAGTAATATCCTGCTGTCCCTGTAAATATAAACACCCGGAGCTCAGAGGCTCTCCGGCCGAGATCAGACCACAGTCAGTGTGTTTGGTCTGACTCCCGGAGTCTGATCTCACA